ACCCTGCAAAATGTACACCTTAGGCCGGTCCCAGAGTGGCTCTTATGGTCTGACCTGTAGCTCACCAAGCGCACACCGCACGATGCGTTGACTTCTGTGTGTGAGTGAGCGCCCTCTGCGTGTCAGCACAGCCGCACTTGGCTAAAAGCACACAGGCCTACGATGTAAACAAACAGTCGAAACTAGGTCAACCTCTCGATTCGAAATTTGTATGTAGGATAAAGTAAAGTACATTTCTTGGGATTTTATGGTCAAGTGTTGATGCTAGCATCAATCTAATAGTAAAGCACCTAATAAAACTTACTTCTTGTTGATTTTGATGATCTGTGAAGAATTTCAGTCGAAAATAAACACGAAGCGAGGCTGCGTGCGACACATGCCCGACGCGTTTACAATACTGTTGAATAGCACGTCTGACGCGTCGCGCAGCTCAGTGGACAACAGACAGACCATACAGCGACGCTGCTCAGGCTTTACTATTAGATACTGATGCTAGCATCAACACTTGATCGCGAAATCCCAAGAAATGCTATATATGAAAATTTCGAATCGAAAGGATGACCTAGTTTCGACTGTTTGTTTACATAATTCTAGTAAGCCGTGGCTTCTAGCCTAGTGCGGCTGTGCTTACACGCAGACAGCGCGCGTTTGGCGAGCTACAGGTCAGACATACAGAGCCACTCTAGGACCGGCCTCAGTTGACCTATCACGCGATGTGTTCTGCTTGTCTATGCATGCCACACCCTCCCCACCCATTCGCTTCGGCCTTCATTGTCGGCACACATGGGCTCTCCCTTTCTTTGATTCGCTAGATCACCAACATTTAGTTTTTCAATTGGCGTGGCGGGTTTTTACTTAAAATATTATTGGCCTGTACTATGTGCACAGCAGCAGCAATGTCGACTCGCGTGTTTGTCTGATTGCGCTTAGGTCTGTAGCAACATTTTTTGAAACAAAGATAAGAAGGAAAAAAAAACCCCGCGGCCTTCCGAGCGCGTGGTTTCGGTGAAATCGGGATAATTCAGATGCTGTTACTTCACTCTTTCGCTATCAAACACCAAATGATGTACACCTTGTTAAAGTTCAGCTTTTCCTTATTACAATGGTGTAAGTTGTTCATTTATTCCGATTATTAGCAGCTGGAAAATTGCCGTGGAAAGAGAAGCCCCTCGCGGTCGCGGTCGGAATGTGTGGTCGGCCGGTTAAAAAATTGACATGCATGCATTCGAATGCTTCGCGGAAAGATTAATTATTAAATAATACCCTCTTTTCATACGGAGAACTGTAGAGCTTTAAAGGGGCTTTCTTATTTTTGGCCTTTGGCGTTTAAATGGAAAGCCTTTAAAAAAAACCGTCACAGTTTTCAAAGCTCATTTTTTACCCGAAATATGTAAAATACCGGCTCAAAAAAGAAATCATTAGAAAGACCAGTTTATTTTCTACCAGAATGAAGTAACATGTTTTGAACTATTCTGCATCAATCCTTCCGCAAACTTAGAAAATATGTGCCCCCCC